TATATCATTCCCTTTCCCAGAAAGTAGCAACCTAGCAAAATATGATTGTGAAATTTTTTGCTATATTGGAACAAATTTGCTTCAATCACCTGATGGGCTTCTTATGTAGATCGACACAACTAAATTACAATATAATTCAACTTGGATACTATCTCCGATAAGGATGTTAAAGTGGAATATGGATAGTTCTTCAAATGGCAAACTAGAACCATTTAGTATTTGTTATGACTTAATTCCTGGATCCATGACTGGCATATAGATAAGGTTTCCTTCTAAAGTTCCATACTTATATGAATCCAAACTTATATACAATCTTATCCTTTAAACAACACAATCAGAGTTCACGCAACATTAATAACAAACTAATTTCATAAATAATTTAATTATCTTAATACAAAAGTTATTATAATTTCATAGTTTTGGAGTACTAACTAGACAGGAAAAAAAGATACAAATTATAACCAAAAGAGTAGGTTCTTAAGGTCTAATAAAAGTGACCTACTATCAAGCTATAAGCTTGAAAATGATAAATAATGAGAGGGTAAGTTCAACAACTCAGTGAGTACATAATATTTAATACACACACACGAGATAATAAAACAATGAGATATATATATACAAATTGACTTTAAGTTTTTATAGGAAGGTTCCTCAAATAGGCCACAACAAAAATATCATAAGGTAAAACTTGTTAGAAAATCAAAATGCAATAGGCATGAGGTTCCGTACCGTGGGATGATCAGTCCACACAGGTTAGTGACTCCCCCGACTAACTAGAGTTCAGATACGATGTGCACAAAGACTAACAATACCATATTAGCATGGGTATTCTGACTAGCATACTATAGATTCATAATCATAATCAAACAGGCATATTCATATCTCAAAGCTCAACTCATAATATTAATCAAATGAGAAGCTATCAATTCAGAAGCCAATTTAAATATATATTGGTTCATATCAAGAATTCAGATTTAACAATTGATCATGTTTTATCTTAATAAGGATAATAATTAACATATATATTATCAAGAAACATGATCCAATTCATATTAATAAATCAAATATTTAAAATATTTCTCATGAATATGAAAAATTATCCACTCAATTGACTCGAAAGCAAACAGAACTCAAAAGTAAACACCAAAGAAAATCCTACTAACGTTCCGCCGGTAAAATATCAGGATTATCTCAATACAAAGAAAACATATTCAAGAACGACTCAAAAGAACATTTAACCTATTTAATACACTTAAATAAGGGTGTATTTTGTAACCTTATATATTTTTGAACTAACTAGTCAATTTTATTAAAAACTCAAAATTTAATGGTTTTCCTGAAATCTAATTCATAATAAAATAAATAATAAAATTGATAATAATTTACTAAATAACCCTTAATTATTCATCAAACCAATCTGAAAAAGCTAATATTACAGTAAGGGACTAATCCGAAATTTATCATATTTTAAGGGTCAAATTGTAACTTTTGTCAAATTGAAGGACCAAACTAAAAATATCATAAATCCATGAATATACTGAAATTATGACCATAATTAATCCTCAATTATATCTAGAACATCTCATTATGCTACAGGGATCATTATGGAATTTTTCCAAAATTTCAGGGTTAAATTGTAATTTTTGTCAAACTAGAGGATCAAACTAAAAATATCATAAATCCATGAATATACTGAAATTATGACCATAATTAATCCTTAATTCTATCTAGAATATCTCATTATGCTCCATTGACCATTCTGGAATTTTTTCAAATTTTTAGGGTTGAATTGTAATTTTTATCAAATTGAAAGACTAAATTGAAAGCGTTAAAATTTCATAACTATACAGGCATTATTCCCATAATTCATCTTTTATTCTATTCAAAATCTCAAAACATGCTTTAGGGATCAATTTGAAATTTTGTTATCTTCAACTTCAAATCTAGAATTTCAACACAAATCCCACTGTTCTTTCTAAAATTTCTAACTCAAAATTCATTATTTACAGAAATCATAACTCATATATTTATCTTTACCTATAATTTCTTAAAATTAACTAAACAATTTATTACCTATAACAATCATTCCTATACATTCAAATTAATTCATCAATCAAACCCAAAATAAAATCTTCAAAACCCTAACATTCATTAAAACTGAAATTTAAAGTTCAAAGAACATATTTATATATTTATAAACCTAAATCTTACCTTTAAACTTGTTTTTTTCCCAATCTCTTCCTTTTCCTTTATTTTTCCCCTTTTCTTCTTCTTCTTCCTCTTCCTCCTTTCTTTCTCACAGTTTGCTCCTTCAATATTTAGATCCCTTTTTCTTTTTTTTCTATTTATGTTTATCAACTATTGTTTAATTACCATAATACCACTTATTTAATTATACTTATTTCTAAGCCTCTAAGGACTTGACTGCCTTTTCCTATATCTTTTAATTCAAAACATAACAGCGTTGGTCACTTTTTAAGAGATCATGAAGGAAATCTTTTATGTGTTTCCTTTTGTTCTACAGGTATAAAAGAATCAAATGTGACTGAGGTTTTCACAATTAAAAAAGCTTTTTAAGTGTATATTGATTGTTCCTATACACTTACAAGAAGTTTGATTTATATAATGCCAATATATGGATTAAGAGCCACAATATGATGAGACCATGACGCTTATAAGATGAATTCTATGATATTTCAAATTCTAGGAGTTAGTGGCGGAGTCACAATGGGGATTAAGGGGCAGTTGCCCCCTTAATCCTTTTTTCAAATATATTTTATATTAAAATTTTAATATAATAATTTAATAAATTTTTTTTTTGCATTATTATTCCTACATCTTTTTCTTCTATAATTTAAACTATTAATTGATTAATTAAGTAAGCTTTTATTCTTTATATTTAATGTTTTAGGTGAGTTTTATTCATTTTTTCTATTTATTTCATTGTTTAATTTTATTTTTGTTTCTTAATAATATGATAATTTATGGATATGTTAAATTAATATGTTTATGTATAATATTATATGTACATGAATATAAATTGAAATGAGTTTTGATGAAATAATATGTATTTTGTTATGAATTTTATATGAAAAATAATAGTAATTAACATATTAGTGATTACAAATAAAGTACTAAACAACTAAAAAAATTAGGGATATAATAAAAAATATATATTTATATTTAACCTACTTATGTAAAATAACAAATTAACAAAGAATTGTTGCTAGTAATTTCATTTGTCCATGCAAGATTTAGAAATAGATGAATAAAATATTCATCGTATATATTGAGAAAGAACATCTTTAATGAAATTAATAATGAAGTCATTGTTAAGTAATTTTAAAATATGAAAACTTGAAAAAAAATAATTATAATATAAGTTTTTTTATGTTAAAAATATTCTTAAATTAATTTTACTTGATATAAATTAGTACATGAATTTCAAATTGATTTCTCTATATAAAACACATATCTATATAATATATAATATTAAGTATTTATAATTCGTCCTCTTATTTAAAATTTTCTAGATCCATGGGAGTATCCTTTGTTTTGTGATAGATCATTCGGCAAAGCAAGGAGTTGATTCCTAGAGAAACAGATTTAGTTGCATGGTTTTAGTTTTAATTAATCTCAAAGTTTGGTTTATGTTAGCGGGTTATTAAGACATTGTTTTGGTTAGTCCTGTATAGCCATTTTCTTCCTGGCTATAAAATATTTTATTGAAGTTCTCGACTTTTATTAAAAAAAAAAGGATCAAGAATACTTTGGCAAATGGTGAGGATTCAAGCTGTTAATACCGTTAGTTGGTTGTAGAGTTGTTTAGACAGTAATTCTTGGAGGTAAAGCAGCTCTTCCATTTGCAAGACTTCTTACTGTAATTAAGTTGATTTCTGTGTCGTATGTGTATCTGCACTTTGAATTTTTTCTGAACAAGTAATTATAAATGAGCTTTGGAATAAAACTCAATCTAAATCAATTGGGAGTCAACTACATAGATTTGTTTGCTTCAATATACATGGAACATTCTGCCGCAAAAAGAAAAGGGGGAAAATACAGTAGCGGGACAACATATTTCGCCAGCCTTAATCATCTTCAGGTTTCAAAGTTACCATGCAGCCAAACAACCAGTGAAACTTTTCCAGGCTTAATATTGTAAGCGCCTTGCATTAGGATTCTTCTTCTGATTGCGCGTCCAAGGATGATTGAGATTCTCATCAAATGACAACATAATGGAACACAATTTGTCGAAAAGAGACGGAATAAGAAGATAAAGGGAAGAAATGAAGATTTACCATCGATTTTTGGCTGTGAATGACCAAGCAGAGTTCCAAAATCTGGATTGGAATTTGGTGCTGGAGGATCAGGCAATATAGTAGAGCGTGGATTGAGATTTGGCTCTAGAGGAACAGGCAATGTAGTAAAGCCTGGATTGAGATTTCGCCACGGAAGCTGGTAAGTACACCAGAAATCAGATTTTCTGTTCCAATTATGAAAGAACATGGACTTTACTTCTCAAAATAAAAGAAAAGAAAAGGGACATCTTCGTAAGGTTATTCCTGACAGTTCTTTAGAAAAAAAGGCTAGTCGTCATCATCTAATTCCAACAATGGAAATTGAATTACCTAGAAAGAATGGAAGCGCAAGACAAAACTGATTGTTTTTTTTTTCGAAGAGCTACAGAAACAAGTCAATTGAAAGGACATTACATACATACCTTCAGAAGCATTCCTTGAAACAGAATCCTGAGAGCTCTTTCTTCTTCTTTCTCTGCGCTCTGCCAATGTCCTCCTACAACTCCTCTTTTCACCATCAAACTCTGACACTACATGAAACCTACACAAATAACAAGCTAAGCCCACTTTTAATCTCATCAACAAGCCATTCCGGCAATCATCATTCCAAGCAAACTGTCGCTCTGCATGTATAGATTAATTGATGTTGTAGGCCATCTATTATTGATATCTATGCATGCATATAGCTGAATTTGCATATGAAGGATCCAATTTGTTTATCCATTTTTTTTTAAAAAATAAATTTCTCCATTTGCCCACCTTGAGAACATGGACTTGTGTCCTGTTGTAAGTGTTGGGAATTCCGACCGGTGATATACTGATATTTGCTCATAGGAGGCCAAGCACACTGACACAATATTTAACGTGGTTCGGCAAAACCGCCTACATCCACGGGAGAAGTCAATATATTTAGAGATAGAGAAAGAATACAAAACAAATACATGGAGGAGGAGGATTACACCCTCTCATACTCAACTCTCAACTCTCTTTGCTGCACTTGCAGCTGCTGCAATGGCAGCAAGGCTGCTGCCATTGCAGCTCTCTCTTCCTCTCTACTCTCTTCACATTTTCATAATTCTCTTCACTCATTTTGCTCTCTTGCATATGCCTCTATTTATAGGCATTCATGAAGGCTTTTCTTCAACAAAGGTGGCTGCCAACTCCAACTCTTCTTCAACAATGGTGGCTACCAACCTTTGACATTTTGGATGAGTGCACATGGTTGGTGCAATAGCAAATGGTTGTTGCATATTAATGGCAACCAACCTAACAGTAAGTCCTAAGTAGTTCATATTTTTGTTTTTCAGCTGTTTCAATATGAAATGATCATAAACAAAAGTTGATCTTAAGCATGTTTAATTAAGCCGATTCAGCGGCCTTTCTTGTTTCTTCGCACTTTTGATACTGAATGAACACGTAAATTATAGTTGAGAACTCAAATCTAAATCGATTTTATTCGACCAACAAAGCTCCAACACCGCATGAATTTTTCTGTTCTAAGATACAGAAATAAAGCTGGGTAAAGCTTTACCGAGCTAATCCTTCTCCAGCCTTGAATCAAATTCAGGTTTCAAACTTCCCCTGACGCAAAATTGTCTAATCAACCGACTGAAAGTTTAAATACTGCAAGGGCCTTGCCTTAAGACTCCTTTCCTGACTACGAGTCTGCGGAACACTGATCACCTGACACAATAAAGAACCCCACATTTCATTAAAATCTTTTATGGGAAACAGAATGTCTCGGAACATTAAGGGAAGAACTGGCTATTTGCCACTGGTAAAGTACACCCGAGTGTAGAGACGACTCGAAAAATGTATCAGCTACTGATTTCCTGTTCAAAATATGGAAGAACATGAATTGTGCAACTGAAAACTAGGGGGAAAAAAGGCATACTTATGTGATTATGCAGAGGAGATAATGCAGGTCGAAGCTGTGCATTGCAGTTGTCATAATGCAGCTTGTCTTTCCCATGTTTTGCTTATCACGGGCTACCATGTAACAGACTTTCAAGGAATTGCTCCAGAGATTTTTTTTTTAAAAAATAAGCGCTAAAACAAAGGTTCCTGCACGTATAGCTGTAGTCGAACTTGCCGAAAGAAAAAATTCCTATACTATTTCGGACAAATAACTTCCTATGCCACAAGAAGCAATTTCCTATAATGTTTCGGGCATCTTGTAGCCAAACTTCCTGAACTGTTAACCTAGCAATTAAAGGAAAAAACAATTTCCTGTATAGACTCCTGAATAATCAATATAAATATAGGCCATACTTTTTCAAAACTCGTGCATTGAAGTCGACTTCTTGCTGTGAAGCTCCTGGCTGCTGGTAATTGTTTTTGACTAATCTTTTTCATGTTTATCAGAATCCATTAAGTTAAATCGTTGTGTGATTGTTGGCCTTGCATGCAGGTCCAGTACTTGAAGCTAGAAGGTTGATTTGGAGAAGCAAGATGAATGATTACATTACTGCAGGGTTGGTCATAGGAACTATCGTTTTAATCATTCTGGCTTTTTTTGTCCGGTCACTTGTTGCTGGCTGTAAGGGGAGGCAATCAGCAGCCGCAGAAGCAGAAGCAGCTTGACAGCAAGCATGGGGAAACCTTCCTGCCATCATAACAATCTTTAATTAGTGCCTCCTGATGTAGTTAAGAAAGTTATTAGTTTAAGTATTCAATTTAAAAATAAAGGGCATACCCTGTTCATCTATTTTATTTTTATTTTTATCTTTGGTTAAATTAATTAGTAGTACTATAATTTCATTTTTTTAGTGTCCGTTATTTCCAAGAACTCGCCAGCTCAAGGTTCTACTAGTGATTCCTTGAAGGTAGCCCATCCTTATTGCTAAATCACCTATAACTTACACAAGATAAAAGAGAAGGAATTAACTATCCAAAAGTCAATCAATCTCGACAAGTTACTGAGGAATAGGACAACGCTTCTTAATCTAAAAGAACAGGGAAAAAAAAAAAAAACACTCTTGAAATGATTCAACACAACTAGGTTGATCTGTCTGCTTTAAGATCCATGAACCATTGTGCTCTACTGTGTGAAATAAAATGGGCAAGGACACAACAAAAGCCTCAATGAGCTTCAGGTTTCAAGTTACAGACAAGATAATCAGCGAAGTTTTTCTAGTCTAAACTGCACTAATCTATTCCAACAATCTAAAGGCTTAATATATTGGAAAGGACCTTGCCTTAAGATTCCTTTTCTGATTGCGAGCATGAGGAAAAGAAGTTGAAATAGTGATAAACTGACACAATAAATAACACCTTTCATTAAAACTCGGTGGAAAACAGAAAGTCTGAGAAAACATAGGGAAGAACTGGATAACACCTTTCATTAAAACTCGGTGGAAAACAGAAAGTCTGAGAAAACATAGGGAAGAACTGGATAACACCTTTCATTAAAACTCGGTGGAAAACAGAAAGTCTGAGAAAACATAGGGAAGAACTGGATAACACCTTTCATTAAAACTCGGTGGAAAACAGAAAGTCTGAGAAAACATAGGGAAGAACTGGCAATTTACCATTGATACTTGGCTCTGGAGAAGATTCCATCAATTAACACAGTTCATATTTCCTGTTCGAAATATGAAAAAACATGAATCGTGCAGTAAAGTTATCTTTATGAGGTTATGCAGTGAAGGCTTTGATGTAAGTTATTTTGTGTTTATCTCAATTAAAAGCACTTTGTAATTTGATTATGTGATAAATTTTCTGCCTTTGGTTTCAAATACAAGCGAGTAATATGTTCAAGGCATGCTTCATTCCCGAGTCAGGGTATTATTGAATTTTTATTTTTGTTCTTTCATCGTAGGAATTATCCCAGCAGAGCAAATTACCTTCCTTGGTTGACTGTAAACTTTTTTTAGTGTATTAGTGTTGGATGCTAGGTTATATTTATGCCGCAACAGAAGGTGAAAACTAGGTCTTTTATTGTTTCGACTTTTGATCTCGGTGGTTTTTCTTGAGCACCTGAATTGAACTGTAATGTCAACGTGAGATCCCAGCTAATTAAGATTGTAATTCCATGGTATTGTATCAAAGATGCGGGATTTAATTGTTATCTTCACTAAAACATGGAAGTGGGGTAAGGGAAAACTTTTAATGTTATAGACAGACCTAAACAATAAAGAAGTTTCCTTTGGGGGTCCTCTTGCCCTTCTGTGGTGCTGCGTGTAATGTTTCGAACAGGTTAATGAACTTCTGCATATAAAAACCTTCTTGGTGTCTATCAAAATAGAATTCAGTCTAGGATTTCTTCCATTTTCCTGGATCAAACTGCATGAACTTCTTCCGATTGAAGTTTATTCAAAATTAATCAGCCACTTGTTTGTATACTTTTCGCTCGCAAGTGATGGACTATGGGATGTTGTACCCAATGAGGTAATTATGTTAACCCCCCTCCCTCTCACACACACACTGATAAATAAAAGCGCGTAAGCATGAATACACGTCTTTGTTCAGTTTTGATGTGAGATTATAATAATGGATTGTGCGAGTTGACCATTTACATTTGGCCCACTGCTTAGGCTATTAGACATTTTGGTTATCATAGAAATAATTGATTGCTCTTCACAGTGCATTGAATTAAACATCTGACTGGTGATATGGAATGTTTGCTTGAGGTTTCTTTTCCTGGTGTCCAATTTCTAGACTTTGAGCTGTTTTTGCCTCCCCTTGCCTGAATCATGTGTAGGATGCTGTTTCCATTGCCAGAACAGAAGAAGAACCTGAGACAGCAGCTAGGAAATTAACCGAGGCTGCTTTTACCCGGGGCAGTGCTGATAACATAACATGCATTGTAGTGAGATTCCACCGTGACAAGATCGCTCCATCCAATTCCCAGCAGGATTAGACATTGCCACGTATCCTGCATGTATAGATTCATTGATGTTGTAGGCAATCTATTATTGATATCTATGCATGCATATAGCTGAATTTGCATATGAAGGATCCAATTCGTTTATCCACTTTTTTTTTAAAAATAAATTTCTCCATTTGCCCCGCTTGAGAACATGGACTTGTGTCCTGTTTTAAGTCCAAAGTAGTTCATATTTTTGTTTTTCAGCTGTTTCAATATGAAATGATCATAAACAAAAGTTGATCTTAAGCATGTTTAATTAAACCGATTCAGCGGTCTTTTTTGTTTTTTCGAACTTTTGATACTGAATGAACAAGTAAATTATAGTTGAGAACTCAAATCTAAATCGATTTGATTCGACTAACAAAGCTCTATCACCGCATGGATTTTGCTGTTCTAAGATACAGAAATAAAGCAGGGTAATGCATAACCGAGCCAAGCCTTCTCCATCCTTGAATCAAATTTATAGCAATTTTGTCAATATTTTTCAACCACCATCAGCCACCCTCTTCTTTTTTCAACCACAACATTTATTGTAGTAGTTAGGAGTTGATTGTTTTTTGTTGAATGTTGCCAAGGCTCTCCTATAAATGAAGACAAAGAGAGAGCAAGGTAAGTGGAAGTGTAAAGGAAGTGAAAAAAGAGCATATTTGAGAGTGTGAGTGTAAAAGTGAAACACTTGGTTTTCTAGGATTGCACTAGGTTAAATTGAGTGTTTGTATCATTTCTCCAATAATATATAATTTGCTGTCTCCGTGGATGTACCTGGTTTTGGGGAACCACATAAATCTACTTATTTGTGTTTTTTTTATTTTTTTTTACTTTCTGTTCGGTATGAACAACAAATTAGTATTAGAGCATTAGAGAGGCTAGAACATTGAAAAAACACGTTTTTTCAGCTCTCGATTCGAAGTTGCAAAATTTTCAAAGTTTTCAAATCTTGATTTTGATCTCTTACGGAGATTCCTCTCATCGATACGAGTTCGGCGATATAAAGATCATCGAAATCGGAGTTGAAACGAGCCTTGTAGAGCTCAAAAAAATTTCTCTTGAAATCTGTTAGAAAAACTAGATAATGTCGGAATTCTAGCCTTAGAAGGCTATGCCATGTTACTAGACACGTTGACACTGAGTCATTATCCACATCATCAATAGGGAGTCAACATCGCCATGTCATCAGTCACGTCATCTAATAGAGACAGAATATTCTCTTGACAGAATAAAAAGAGAATATTTCCTTGACTATGATGGAATATTCTTTATCAGAGATAGTGTAATGTTTTGAATTAATGAGTTGGAAAATACAACAAAGCCCTTGATCACTTAAAGAGTGGGTATAAATGAATGAGGGGTAGTGTGGTAATTAGATAAACATAATAAATATAAATAGAAAAAAAAATAAAAGTGGGATCTGAAAATTTGAGAGAGAATCGACAAGATAGAGAAGGGAGAAAGAAGAAGAGAAAAGAGGGAAATTAGAAGAGAAATAGAAAGGA